GGTCGTGCCCCCCCCCAGCCCCCTTGCGGCGTCAGCCGGCGGCTCCGCATGTGCTGCCCGAGGCAGAGCGCGCGCCGTCCGATGTGGGACGGTGGCAGCGTGTGCGCAGGGAGGAGGAGAGGCGATGGAGCCTGTGCTGACCTGTCGGTTGCAGGAGGCCTTTCAGCTGCTGTGCCCAGCAAGAGGGGATTTCTGGAAGGGAGCTGCTGCCCTCCCTGCCCGGTGTGCGGGAGCGGAGCCAGAGCCTGCTCTGAAAGAGCCTTTTGTGGCTCTGTTTGCTCTCCGGACACTGGATTGTGCTTACACAGCTGCAGTGCACCCTGGGAGGGAGAACACAGCGGCTTCCCACCCGAGGGCTGCAAGGGGAAGGGGCTGGGTATGGGAAGGGGGGTGCTCTTATTGCAGATTTCTGCTCTGAGGCTAGGCAGCCCCTCTCATGTCTCTCTGTGGCCTGGCAGGTGTTCACGGTGGAGGTGCTGTTCAATGGCCGGAAACACACCCTTGAGAAGCGGTACAGCGAGTTCCATGCCCTGCACAAAAGGGTGAGGCCGGGCGGGCACGCGGCTGGAGTGGGGGGCAAGGGCTAACTCCATGTTACCCGCCCGCAACGCTGCACAGCGGCCTCTGGGCAGCTGATGGTTTGCTGCCCCAGGGCCCCGCCCCCGCTAGATGCGCCTGGCTCCCTGTCCGGGCGCTGCTCCTCCGGGGGTGCTCCCAGTTCCAAGGGACACTGCGCCCTGCCTGCAGCCCTGGGTGATTGGAACAAGCTGGGATAACACGGACCTCCCCGTAGTTCTCTTCCCCTCACTTGGCTGTGCCCGGAGCCCGTGGCCCGTCAGCCAGCCCCACATCAAGGCCTGGGCAGCGCTGGCCTGTCCCGGGGAGTTGTTTTACCCGCCCCTGTGGGCTCTTTTAAAAAGAGCTCGAGACCGGACTGAGTGTAACGGACGTGGCGACGCCTCCCTGAGGCTGCGGCCGTTGCTGTGAGACGGGGACCCGTTATCTCCCTGGGGCTTTCACACACCACCGAGAGAGGAGAGCGCAGGGCCTCGCCCAAGCGCGGTGGGGCATGATGCCACCCTGCTGGCACGGGGGGGAGGAGACCTTTGCAGCCCCTGGAGGGGCCCGATGCGGCTGCATGTCAGAGGGCAGGGTCTGCCTGCATGGAGCTGGCGCCTGGAGCAGAGGCGTCCGGCGGCTCCACGCAGCAGGGCTGTCTCGGCCGGGTGGTAACACCACCTTCTGCCCTAGATAAGGAAGATATGCAAGGTCCCGGATTTCCCCCCCAAGCGTGTCCCCAACTGGATGTCGAAGGTGCTGGAGCAGCGGCGGCAGGGCCTGGAGTTTTACATTCAGGTAGGGGGGGTGCCCCCTCCTTGGGGCCCTGGTGACTCCTGGGCTGGATGCGACTCCCTGGAGTGGATCTGGGCCTTGCTTCTCAGGACAGCGCCGGGTGCTCTGCTGGGCCAGGGGCTCCAGTGAGCTCTAAGCGGCTCCGTCTGTTTGCTGCAGGGCGTCCTGTACTACAACAAGGAGCTGCCTAAGGAGCTGCTGGACTTCCTGAAGCTGCGGCACTTTCACCAGGATGTCAAGGCCGGCAGCCTGCGGTGAGTACCCCGAGCCTGGGACGCCCCCGGTGGAAGCCAAGTCTCCAGTGATCTGTAGGTTAAACCTCTAGTCCAGCACCCATGGGACCAGACGGGTGCTGAATCAGAGAACTCGCCAAACCACAGGAGGTCAATATTGTCTAGCAGCATTGCCAGAACTTGCACTGCTTGCTGGGCTCTTAGGCGACATTTAGGGGTGGATTAGTGCTCTGTACTCCTGTGCAGCTCTGAGCCAGGACCTGTGCTCGTAAACGAACTTTCTGGGGCTGCGGGAAACTTGGCCGCACCCATGGTAAATGGACATCAGAGTAACTAAAATCATGCCGGACCGTGGATGTTGCTGGACCAGACGATACCAGTTAAGGGTTTCAACCTGTACTACTATGTGTAGACAGAGCTAAAACATGGTGCATGCAAGGGGCTAGCTGGATTAACAGTCATTGGAGGCAGCGTTGCCTAGTAGCTGGTGCCACCAGGTGCTCAGCTCTGCTGGTGATTTGCTATGTGACTCAGAAAGGTCCTGCCCCTCTTTGGGATGCCATTTCCTCACCTGTGAAATGGGGCTTGCTGGCAGGCAGGCTGGCGGTCGCTCCCTCCTCTGCCCATCACGTGGAGGAGGGCAGCTCCTGCCCCCACCAGGAGGGCGGGACGATTCACTCCCTTGGCTGTTTCCGGTGTCCCCTCCGAGGGAGGGAGAGGGCAGGTCGTCCGTGCGCCTCCCAGCTGCTCCTGTTGGGGCCGTGCTCCAGCTGCAAGGGCTGGTGGCAGGGCTCCCATTTGCTGGTGGGCCTTGCCAAGCACTGGCTGGGGTGTGTGTGTCCCAGTGGCAGGGCCGGCTCTAGGCACCAGCAAATCAAACACATTTGCAGGGGCGGCATTTCCAGGTAAGCAGCTGCCCCTGGCAATGCCTGGCCCTGCCCGCACCTCCAGTTTTAAAGGGCCGTGGGAGCTCGGCTCTGGCTGCATGTCCCCAGTAGCTGGCTGCGGAGCACGGCGTGGCCAGGCTCTGCCCTGCCAGCTCCAGTCCTGCCGTGGCCCCAGCCCCCTTCGCCAGCAAGAGACCACTCCCTGCCGGGCACTGCCCTGCCCTGCGCCCTTCTGGCTCCACGCCACCTGCTCCCCTGCCCTCTCTGCTCTCCGTTCCCTGCGATTCTCTGGCTCTGCGCCGCCCTTGCACCCCGCACCCCATCCCTGCCCCCACTCTGGCTCTGCGCCACCCATTCCCCACCCCCCTCTGGATCTGCGCCCCCTCTGCACCCTGCAGCCCCTTTTCCCTGTGCCCCTCTGGGTCTGTGCCCACCATTCCCCGCACTGCCCCTGGATCCTGATCCCTTTGCCCCTTGTGTTCCCCACATCCCATTCCCCGTGCCTCCCCTGCACCCCCCAATCCCTACATCCCTCTGGCTCTGCGCCTCCCGTTTCCCGCGTTCCCCCTGTTCCCTGCACCCCTCTGGCTCTGCGCACCCCAGTCCCGCTGCTTCCCCCGGTCCCCATGCCTCTCTGGCTCTGCACCTCCCGATCCCCACGGTGAACCCTGCTCCCCGTTCCCCCTGCCCCTCTGGCTCTGCGCTGTCCCTGCTCCCCCTGTGGGTCAGGAGTGAGGGGTGTTTGTCCATAGGGAGGGGCTGGACAGGGCAGGGAAAAGGCTGTGACCCAGAAGCGAGTGAAAGGGGAGGGGGAGTTTATTTGAAGCGCCTTTATGGGAAAAAAATAATATACATTTAATTTGCTATTTACAGGGCTAAAATGCAAAAACAAAAACAAAAACTGCAAAGTACAAACGTGTGTAAAACCAACAAAAAAAAGGGGGAGGGGCAAAAAAATCTTTTGCTTGGGGCGGCAAAAAACCTAGAGCTGTCCCTGCCCAGTGGGGAGGGGCAGGGGGTCCTAGCTGGGGGAGGGAGGGGCTTGCTGCCAGAGCCCCCTGCTGGCTGAGCCTGCTGCAGAGCAGGGGCGCCCCCTGGTGGCTGCCTGCATCTAGTGCAGTTCTCCCTGCAGTAGAGGCCCCCTGCTGGCAGCTGATGGGACACTTGTGCCCCCCACAGCCTTGGCTCCTCCCTCTGCCCAGCTGCCCCTCGTGCCCCCTTCCCTGGCGCTACAGTGCAGGCATGGGAGCCCCACGGGACATGCAAACCTGAGCGTCCGGCCCCGCTCCGATGGACCCTGGCAGGAGAGGCTGCATGGCGGCGGGGGGGACCCTGCTCTCGGCAGCCACCCATCTCCTTGCCCCAGAACAGCCAGGTCCTCACTGGCTCCTCTCGTTGCAGCCACGGCATCCTGCTCCCGCACCGGCCAGCTCTGAGCTTCCACAAAGACCCGTACGTGTTCCCCTCGTCCACAGGTATGGCGGGTGCGGGGGAGGGGCAATGGCCGTGCTGGGAGGTGGGCAGGCTGCTCCCAAAGGGATGGGGGTGTCCTGCGAGCGCATTCCCGTTCCAAGGGGGGATGTCAGGTGCTGCCCCCAGCCAATCTCCCCCTCGCGGCACCTTGGCCTGGCCGGCGGGCGAGGAACAAACCCTCCAACTGCTCCCTCAGCGCAGGCAGCGGAGTGTAAGTGGGAGCAGAGCAGGGCCACCTGCTTCCCCCAAAGGCCTGACGGTTCCTCTCCCGCAGCCTGGCTGCTCGCCCACGCACACGCTGGGGAAG